CATAACTTATGCTTCATGTGCGGCAGCCCCAAAAAGTAGGCAATGAAATTTGTTTTATGCGCCAATTGCTGACAAACACAGCGGCCATTAGGCAGACAGCCAAATCAGACAGTCAGACACGCCGGCACTCAGACAACCAGGCAATTTATTAGACAGTTAGTGAGTCGTTCATTTGATTAAAGAGAATAGAACAAGAGCGGGCTGTGGCTCAGCCTGTGGCCCGTGGTCCGTGGCCCGTGGCTGTGTCAGGAGTAAAACATTTTAATTGAAAGGTGTATCCATCCGGGCTAAGAGGACTCGCTCGTCAGCTGCCAGCTCCATTAAAAAGAGCTCAAGAGCCCGGCTAAAGCCAGTCAGCAGCTTGCTCGAAATACGCATAATGAGCGAATGCCACGGTAATCGATTTGAGTTAACCAATTCGGGCTAATAGCCCTGGTTACAGTTTTTGGCATTGACTCCGAGACTGTGGCTTAGCTCTGGCTCCTTGCGGTTGCCCTAATGCGCGCTAAGCGCATTAACAACAGCATCTAACGAATGGGGCAAAACAACAGCGTGTACTCGAGCCGGGTAGGAGTGACTGGCGAAATACCCTGTAGCTCGGATGGCTGAATGCGCTAAAGAAGCTTCAATATTATTTATAAATGAGATTTGTTAAAAGCTAACATACTATGACATAACATTAATATATTTATCGATAAATTTTATTTTATTACAGATTTTATTTCTATATGCAATAGCAATAGACAAGTGATTGATAATTAAATTTCCCTATATTAACCAAAATATTATTAATTGTAATTAAAAAAAAAAAAAAATTATAAAAATAAATATCGATATTTATCGAAATATAAATTGCTCAAATATCAAAATAAATATCTACGTAAGAATCTACCCACTAAATAGCACAACAACAATATACCCGTTGCTAGACATTTCTACTGGGTATTGGATAAAACAAATAACAAAACTTTGCGCTGCAACTTTGGGCAACACAGCAAGGTGGAATCAGGTGCAGGGGAGCAGAGGAGCTGGGCAAATAATAACTCAAGCTCGATTTAGTTTTTGTAGCATGCGAGTGCGCGTGAGTGTATGTGTGTGTGTGTCTCTGTGTGTGTGTGCTTGAACCCCATGGCAAATCCCCAGACGCTGGCTATTTATTATATTTATAGAAAACACATTAACTCGGTTTTACAGTTGCTGAGGACAGAGGGGGAGGGGCTCGGTGCCAAGCTGGGCCAAGCATAAAAACAATCAAAATCCCACAGACGAACATGCGACCCACGAAAACGCATTTTGCTTAAATTGTTTCATAATTGATTGATGTGCAGGCAAACACAAACACACACACGCACGCAAGAGAAACTGTGTGAGAAAGAGAGAGGGAGGGAGAGCGACAGAGTGAGACAGTTCCGCAGATACAATCAGTCTGATATATAGATACAATATACAAGGGTCTGCGAGACAGCTTAGGCCACTCCAATGATTGCTTTTTGGGCTGCAATTCCTGGCCAGATCCTGGCACAATTCCATCCAGCCAGCAGCCAGCATAGGGCAACGTATGTGTCCTGGATTGCTTTTTTATTTATTTATTTTTTTTTTTTTGCTTGTTTTACTGTTTGCCTGTATTGCATTTGTTTTGTTTGCTTTTGTAATTTCTGGCCCAGCTGCCAACCGCAGATCGTTTTGGCCGTTCGCTGTCTGATGTCAAAATAATTTCGCCACACACGGAGGAGGCGGTTTGTTGTGGTAAAGGGCGTGGCCAATGCCACAGCAAGCTGAGTTATTTAGACAGTGACCGATTTTGGATAGCCAAAGCCATTCGGCCTCAGCCTCAGCCTCGCTGCCCCACTGCCCCATTGCCCCACCGCCACGGCGCGTGTCCAAAATTGAGTTTTGATTTGAAACCCAATTTCCCATAATGCGATGCGCGACAAATGACAACGGCTAGCTATCACCGATTGTCACAATTCGATTGATTCGGTTGCCACTAGACACAGACTCACACTTATATAAATAGATTTTATATAACATACATATAAATGCTTTGGGGTCAACCGTTTGTCCGAACGTTGGCCACGAAGCATTCGCTGCTTTTGATGTTTCCTTGCGTTTGACTAGCTTCAGTTAATGTACCCGAAATGCTAACAACCGCAGCAACTTGAATGTGTGTGTGTGTGTGTGTGTGTGTGTGTGTGTGTGTGTGTGTGGCCATGTGCGGTTGTGTGTGTGTGTGTGTGCACTGACCACTTGACAGCGTTCGACGCATGTAATTGATCTGAGCTGCATAACTTAGTCTAGCCACAAATTCACAGACATGCCCACGCACTCACACATACACACACACGCACACACAGACATACACACACACATATATAATACGCTTCAGTTTAAGCACAGCTGATTTCTATATAACTGTCGTCAATAACAAAGCTGTCAAGGCAAGAAATTCTCTTCCTTTTTTTTAAGTTACAGCAGCTTCAGCTCTGAAGACACGAATATACTATATAGAGTAGAATCCCGATAATTTTAATTTTTCGATTTACACAGAAATTTAAATTATCGAGGATTATTGAAAACGAATTTCTATCAAGAGGATAGAATTTTTTCGATTTATCGCAATATCGAATTATCGGGGTACAAATTATCGAGACTCGACTGTATTTAAAGTATTAACAAAATGGTCTGCAGTATTTTGCTCTTTTCTTCTTTTTCTCTCTCTCTCTCTCTCTCTCTTTCCAGGTGTTCTCTCATGTGATTTTGCACATCTGTCTCATGGAATGCACATTATCATTAAAACGTAATTTGATGACGATCCATTATTATTATTATTTAATGAGTCGCTCCAAGGGACGATTGTATACGCCATTAAATGGACGAATGGATCTCAAACAGAATCATTATTGTGTCTCCAAATTTGACTGTAAATCCATCCCTGCCAGTATCTAAAACCAAACTCAAAAATCAGCCATAAACTATTGAATTTATTGTCGATTAATGCAGTGCTATCAACTCAATGTTATAAACCATTAAAAACAAAACACCCCTTCTATAGCTTTCACAATGCAAAGGCCTCTGTAGCCCTTGTTTATCCTATAGGCTGGCATTAATTTTCATATTATCTCTAAATTCTAAATAAATATAGATTTTAAGAAATTCAAGCCTTCTTCCCTTGGTTACCATTATAAGCAAAATACATTTAGGAATGCTATTTTCTATTTATGCGCCTTGGTGCTATGCAATCGAAGGGTAGAAATATATATGGGTATATCTTTATACATATATAAGCAAAAATAATGTATGTAGCAATTATTTTATATATATTATAATAAATCTGATATTAATCTAGTGAACGGAATATTGAGAATATAACAATGATACAATTTAGGTCATTTAAAAACACTGTGATTACTTAAACTTGTTTTAATCACCAGCGTGTACGTCTCTAATCTATCAATGTTCTTCGTAGACTGTCTTCTTCTTGAAGTGGTGTTGCCACCCTGTTTAGATTGTGTAACCAGGATGCTACACCGCTTAACCAAGGCAACTTTACATATAGTACGATCTGGCGCACCTGCATTTCTATTTATTTTTTAACATAAATTAATTTGCTCATATTCCTACAGAACCTTGCATGGCTCTGTCTAAAAAAAAAAAAAAAAAAACACCCTTTCTATACACACATACACTCATAAACTATCTCTCTCTATCCGCATAATATTGTTAATTAAAATGCCTAATTAATTTAGCTCAGAGACATATTTAATCGCTTATTAATGACTTGTCCTGCTCTGCTAATCAGCTGTGTACGAGACAGCAAATCAACTCAATGGAATCGTTCACAGGAACAAGGACTACAAGGACTGCCTCGCTCACGGATCAGCAGCTCGCAGTTAATCAAACTTGCTCGCTGCTCTGCGAACTGCGTTCGATATGCATACGCCATGTGCGATTGCTCTATAAATAAGTTATTGGCCAGCCTCTAAGCGCGTTCCATGCTGTAATTTCCTCTGGCACAACAAATTGTTCATGCCCTGGCGAAGAGGGCAAGTCATAAAAAAGGAAAAGCATGCTCATTGTTGGAACAAGACGGAGAGAGAGAGAGAGAGAGATAGACAAAAAGTTGGAGCCTGCGTTAAATTAATGATATTTTACATACATCTTAATTGCGTGTCTCTGGCTTTTTGTTGGCGCATCCTTCAGGCCAATTGGCCGGGCCGAGCGCTCTGCGCTTGTCAGCCAAATTGCCTAGCCCTCGAGCTGCTTATAATTTATTGAAATCGCGGCCAGCCAACGGCAGAGGCAAAAGCCAGAGCCAGGCCTACAATCGCCAATGCCCAGAGACCCTTCAGCTTGACTGTTCGTGTCGCCAATTTGGGGGAACTTGCAAAATCAACGCGCTCGTAAATTGAAAAATCTTGTCAAGTGGGCGGGCGAGACAAAAACAAACACAAAAAACAAATACAAAAAAAAAAAAAAAATATACGAAAAAAAAAAACAAAGCACCAATAACAACAACGACAACAACAAGGAGAGTGAGAGACAAAATATAGACGAGGCTTGGCTTTGCCGCCCGTTGACAGTTTGTTAATTAAAACCAGCAGCTGGGCAGGCGGCGGTCAACTGGTCATCCAGTCATCCACTCAACCGGTCAGCTGTGCACTGAGGCGCTCAGTCAACGTCTCAAACGCACACACTCCGGCCCTATTGCCCTGCCCAACATCCCGCACACACGGAACGCCCACAGTGCCTGTTGGAGCCCGGAACCCATTGCAAACAGAAAGAGAGAGCGAGGGAGGGATAGGGGAAGAGATAGGAGAAGAGTGCGAGAGCTCTGCAGTTGGCAGACGGAAAACGTCAGTAGTCGAAGTGCTAATAAATTCCCCAACAGTCGATTGTGAGCTGTGACACCAAGAGAGGAACAATGTGCGAAAGGCGGTCCAAGCGGGTTGGGTGGGGGGTCTGTAGCCGGGACCCGTTCGGTTCCCAGTTGCTCTACTCACCTATCGTTGTAATTAATGTCAGGGAGTAGAGAAATGCCGAGGCGTAGGTCCATTTGTGCGTCGGTGCATTCATTTGCACACCGCCTGGCTGATAGACCTTCGATTGGCGCACCGCTCGCAGCAGCGTGTCCTGCAAGAGCAAAGCCAACGATACACGCGCATGGATTTAGCGGGGGATTTGGTTTATTAATTGGAGTGTAAACGCACCTGGAACAATTGCACCTCCTGGGCGGCCAGTCGTGTCCAGTTCTCCTTGTAAAGTATGTTCAGATCCTCGGTTATGGACCACAGTCGATCAACGGTTCTATCATAGTCGATTGATTGCTCGTTAGATTATCGCCTCTACTTTATTGCTAAAGCGAACTCACCTGGAACGTATCTCGGCATTCGCTAGCTCGGTGCGCGGATAGGGCTTGGAGGCGGCCACAGCAGTCTCTAGAGCTGTCCCGTCCTCCAGTTCGCCTTCGAGTGTTACGAATATGATGGAGCCCATGGCCGTGTAGAGCAATACCAAAAGCAAAACACCTGGTCAAGAGCAAGAGAAAGAAGGAGAAGGAAAACCGAATTATAATAGTTGTTTTAATATGAGAGATGTGCACCAACGCATTAATAGCCGGTATATTTCATATATGGATCTATCCGTAGATTAGCTGAACAGTACAAAATTTAGATTTTCTAAGCCTAAAGCTCTTAGAGATTGTTTGATTGGGTTTTACTTCGACCCTAAGTAGGTGGTTAAGTTCAAGTGATCTAGCTATAGAACTGGGAATGGCATAGCTTATATGGGAACTTATATATGTAACTTAAAAACCAGTCGAAAATATAGCACAGCATTAAATGCTACCCATTTATAACTAATCGAAACTTGTGAATTTTGCGTTCATATCGTCGGACGGAGTATCAGACGGACTGTCGGACGAACAGTCCTACTGACCGTCGGATAAACTGTAGGACGAACAGCCGGACGGGCTGTCGGACGGACTATCTTACGAATAGTCGGAAAAACAGTCAGACGGACAGTCGGACGGTCTGTTAGACGAGCAGTCGTATGGAATATTAGACGAATATTCAGACGGACTATCGGAGGAATAGTCACACGGACTGTGAAACGAACAGTCGGGCGAACTGTCTCAAGAATAATCGGAAGGACTAGAGAGCAAAAAGCCGGACAAACAGTCGGACAAGCAGTCGGATGGAATATTAGACGAACATTCAGACGGACTGTCTCACGAATAGTCGGAATTACTGTTGCACAAACCTTAGAACGGACCAGCAATACGGACACTGCACAAAGCCAATTTACTCTGCATCCCCACGTGAAAGCATACGTATAAAACTGAATTAAATTTCAAATCGTTTTCATTCTTGGCTAACATTGACCTATAAACGTAAATTGGCTGCGACTTTAACGTCTCTCACACTCGAAAGGGAATGGGGCTACGCCTGAAGCTCACTCGAGATGCCTCCACAATGCTGCTAGCAGCCCTGCTGAGTACGGGTTGTTCCACGGCTGGTTATGTCAACGGCAATGGCAATAGAGCCGTTGCAGCTCTGGCTGTGCTGCACTTGAGGCACCGTAAGGGTCCACTCACCTGTCGCTGATATGCAATGCGATTTAGGCGCTTTTTGGCAGCCGCAGAGGCCGCCGCCGGCGTCCCGTTGCTTGTCCGCCTTCGATGCGGATGAGCCGCTGGCGCCCGCACCACTGCCGACCGAAGTGCCAGCGCCACTCTGAGCGCCATTTGTGGCGCCGCCTGCGAAGCACATATTTGAGCCGCTCTGGCGACCAATTCGCGAACTGCTGCCAGCCACGTTTTCAGCTCTTGTTGAGATGTTGCTGCTGCTGTTGTTACGGTTGATGTTGCTGCTGTTGTTACTGTTGATGTTGCTGCTGTTGTTACTGTTGATGTTGCTGCTGTTGTTGTGAATGCTGGCCAGAGGTAGTGACGAATTTTTGTTCATTCTCCCACGAAACGAGGCAATCAACGTGAGCTTCGCCTACTGCAGTCAATCAATCAGGCTAAGCCCACGCGTTGGCCAAATGAGCAACTGGTTAAATGATCAGCGGATCAAATGACCAACACGACCAAACTGACCAAACGCACCAAATGAGCGCGAATGCCCCAATGAACGAATGAGCGTATGGCAATCAAATCAAAAGCTTTGGCGCCTCATGTGGCACGTAATTTGCATCCTCTTCGACTCCTGCAGCCGCGCGGCTTTTACCGTCTTTTTTGTCGCAACACGTTATTATGTGACCGTCATAAAACGTTGTCGACAGCAATGAAATTGTTGCAGTTGTTGCTGTTGTTGCTGTTGTTGCTGCTGCCGTTGTTACTGTCGTTCTTGCGCGGAAATGTTTTTGGGCCAAAATTGTCGCCGGATGCTGCAAATGCAAAATATTTTTTGTGTGAAAAAAGAACTCTGACGGAATGAAAATGAAAATTGCTATTCGGGGCACACACAAAAAAGTACACACACACACACACACACAGACACGGACGCACGCACACAGATGGCTATGGTGTAGACAAATTGCATGGCAAATGTTGTGTAATTGACTTAGCCGCAAGCGGGGAGTAAAAGTTATTGCAACAACAGACTTATTAAGCCGATACATCTAATGCCCTACAACAGCATGCCCCAAGGCGGCTGACAACGGACACGCGAGCCGAGTTGACTCGACTGAAGTGTTATACAATACAATTCATTCCCACTGGCTGGCTATTTATTATTCACAATAGCTATTGGCTGGACAAACAACGTGTTAGCTAACTTGGCTCGCTGGGCTTGAGTCCATCTCCAAGGAGGAATTGTGACAACAACATTTTATTATTCGCAAATCACATGTGTAGCACTCGTGCGAGCTGAAGGTTTTATTATCCTGGCAATCAAATTGTCAAATGAAAAACTCAAATTTCGAAATTCCGCACAAGTTTCGCCCTATGCACAGCAGCAGTTGACTGGCATTTGAATTGCCTGTGATGCTGCTTTCTGCTACTAACCTGGCTATCATATTGTATTAAGTTCAATTGCAAGCATGACACGAGCCGAGCCGAGGCAGCAGCAAGTGTGCAGCAGCTCCAGTCGAGTGCCTGACACCTCACACTGCCAGCAGCATGAGGAGCACAATGAATGCAAGTGCCTTTGTTGGCATTTGACAGCAGTTCAAGTCGTTGTTATCAATTATGCTCGAATTGAAAGTTACAATGAGTTGACTAATTCGAAACTTTATTTGGGAATGGCTAGAGCAAGAGGGGAGAGAGAGAGAGAGAGAGAGAGAGAGAGAGAGAGAGAGAGAGAGTAGATAGAGAAGCGTCAGAATATTGTACATAGTTAGCGCAAGTCAATTAAGCTCGCATGTTAATGTTAAGTGTGACAGAAATGTTAACTTGAACAGCGCCCTAAGCTGCTAACTGACAGCTAAACTGACGGAGAGATTTATTTGATGTGAATGCTGGAAGTGAACTTAGTTAAAGTGAAAATAAGCCTAGAGCATACATTCAAAATAATTTGAATTGAAATGAGTGTTTTTTATAATATAAATATTTTAAATATATTTTGACTATATTAAATATGTATAAACTGTACTGAGCACCAAATTCTGGGCAACACATTTAGGTATATAGTATATTATATTCAATTTAATAGTTATTTATAATTTCAGTAAATCATATTAAATTTAATGATGTCACAAATAATTTATGCATGAAAATACTAGTGTAACTGGGCACAAAATCTGTATATTTATAAATAAATTAATACATATATTTATTCAGAAATTATATATTTTGCACTCTTTTACAATTGAATACATTTACATGTACAATATTAGCACATATTTATATTTATACATATATTGTATACATATATTATATATAATTTAGTTAATATATATTACATCATATATAACTGAGTGCAACATCAATGAAATATTTATTGAATAGTTGATCTCATACAGAAAAAACACCACAAATACCAGGCCATCATATTTTGTCTCTTGCCTAGCTAATGTACTCCCTGTTTATAGAGTAACTGGAACAACAGCAGCAGCAACAACAACTGTGTTCGGTGTGTTTATGTTAACTGAGTGTGGGCAGATGACGCCAACGCGTTATCTGATAAACGTGAAGATGGCCAAACATTTAAATTAAAGATTGTCCGCCAAGCACAAAAAGTTGTCGAGTTGCTATTGCTGCTGCTGTTGTTGTTGTTGTTGTTGTTGCTGCTATTGTTGCTGCTGCTGAGCACGTGTGCTGCCATTTTCATTCAGTCAATGGCACTTCAATTAGGACAGAAAGTTAGCATTTTGCTGCTGTTGCTGCTACTGCTGTTGTTGTTGCTCCTGCTCCTGCTGTGTGTTTTGCTTATGACGGGAATTTTTGCTGGTTCATTCGCAATGCTAATTACAAAATACCAACGCATAATCACGTCACGTTTTCCACACATTCACTCAGCTACCTAAAATACAAACTACAACAAAAATAAAAGAGAGACAGAGCTCGACAGATACAGAGGGAGACAGAGACAGACAGAGAGAGAGTGAGAGAGAGTGCTACAACGGCAGATTTAAGAATAATGATAGGCACAATATGAATTATGGCTATAACGAGACGTATATTAAATGAATCAAACGAATTAACAAATGTCTAATAGCACTTATTTTATACACAAATACACACCTACACACACACGCACATTTCCATATCATTTAATTTTGTTTTTAATTTAATTCAGAATTAATTTGCAAATAGATTTAATGCTTTGGCCATGAGCAATGGGCCAACACATTGCAGTTAATCCTATTGGCTGATGCTCGTTCATATTTGAGAGATCTTGAAAAGGCTGCATTGGTCAGAGCAAGGATACTTAGTGCATCTTGGCGTGAGCAATTCTTTAGACGAAACTCCGCTATGATACGTGTATATATGTCAATTATGATATATGTATGTACATATGTCACTTCATGTAGAAGCCATTCAAACAAACCTTTTGTGCATTTTACACATGGAATATTTCAATCCTTGAAGCAATTGTATATATATATATAATGTACACACATAAGCTGCTTAAGTCGTAAACGACAATCACTTAAAATCTACTGTCAATTAATGCGCCCAGTTAAGACAGCAAAACCAGTCGAGACACAGCAATGATTTTTGATATAAGCGCATTTACAGTGCTCAGAGCAAAGGATTTGAAGAGAGAAAGAGAGCGGACTGCGAACAAAGCGCCAACTGGCAGACAAAGCTAAGTACAGCCATTGATGGCCAGACAAAGGCAGCAGGTGAAAGGCCAAGCCAAATGGAAAATGATAATATATGTGAGCATATAAGTATATAAATAATACGCATTTCAACTTATTTTCAAACATATATTTATAGAACTGAGTCCAAACTAAAATTCTGCTTGAATTATAGAGGAGAAACTTTCAATAGTGAGCAGCTTCAGTCCAGTCTAGAGCAAAGGGCTAGCTATAGCTAGTCGAATATTGTTGGCCCTAAGATCAAATTAAAGTTATTATTTCTAATCAGTTTTAACAACGTTGGAAAACTATATACATTTTCTAGCCAGACGGCTAACTGAAAAGCCAATGGAAGACGTCTCAAAATTTGCCAGCCATCAGATCTCCCCAAAAGGATAATCCAGTAGAATAAAATAAAAATATTAAAAAATATATAATTATAAAAATTATAAAAAAAATAGAATATTAAAAAAAAAAAATAATAATAATATTAATATATTTATATGTAATATATAATATAAAAAATATAATTATAAAAAATAGAATATAAAAAAAAAAAAATAATAATAATAATAATAATATTAATATATCATCTTAGATTTTTGTTGTGCAAAACTAGATAACATATACAAATTTTTACAAAAAAAAAAAAAAATAATAATAATAATAATAATCATAATAATAAATACAATCAGTTTTTACGTCGGCAAACAACATAGCTTTAAAAATTCCACATCGAGTTGTTTTAGTGCATACGTTATTCGTTGTTGCCTTTCTCAAGGCCCGTAAAACAGTTTACTACAGTTGTCAATCAGATGCATTGAGCCAGAAACAGCCTTTGGCCACATTTCAGCAAAAACAGTGGGCTTGCTACACTTGAACTGTAATATGTGAGAGAGCAGCAATAATTATCTAGTTCCGATGAACTATATATATATAGAGAGATGCTTCCCACTTCATGGGCTGCAAGGGCAGCAAAAATTTGCCTCCACAAATATATGTATTGTAGCTAGCCCAATTCAGTACCCACTGCTCAAGGATATTTAAGGTTCGGCTCACATCACGATGTGCACATTTTCTATCTGACTTGTTCATTTAATCTGCCTCTCAATGGCTGCGTTGCGCCTGTGAGTACAGATGTCAATCACATGCGCTCAGTCAGAAACTGTCTTGGCATGTTTCATCAAAAATATTTCGGATATTTTCGTTTGGGCCATTATGACGCTTGAATGGCTGCCTGTACTTCAGTCATTCTGCTGTCAGTCTCTCTCTCTCTCTCTCTCTCTCTCTCTTTCTGGTGGTTGGTTTGTTTGGCATAATTCTCGATTCTATAAATGAACATCCTTCACATGTGTCGATTAGTGTTTTCATTTCAATTTTATTTTTACATTTCAGCTCAAGCTGCTGGGCCTGGGCTTAATTCAGCTCGACTCAGCTCGCTTGAGTATTTGCGATTGGCCCATATGGCTGGCACTGGCACTGGCACTGGCACTGGCACAGGCTGCTGTTTAATCACGCCCATAGACCAGCCCATTTTCACACTCACACACAGTGGCGCAGGAAGACAGGAACATAGCGGCAGACAGCTACCATCATGCATATTGAGTGCTCGGCTCTGACATTCGATACACATTCATCGCACCTTTTTAATTGCTGACATTTATTGAACGCTTGCTGCTTGCCGCTTGCCGAGTGTTAAATCTACCGTGAGCACACAGCAGAAAGCACCTGAATGCTCCAATGTGCGTATACCAGTATACCAGACGTATGTATTCATATGTGTGCGTGTGTGTGTGTGTGTGTGTGTGTGTGTGTGTGTACCTTTGACTTAAGTGCAAACTTATGCCAATTATGTGCAGCTTTTGCCTGCCATGTAGCGCCTTCTCTTTGCTCTGTCATGAAACCCTACGCAGACAAGGAGTAGGTGTGGCAGAAAGAGTAAGAGTCTTCCACTAGGAAGCATCTTTAGATGAGATACCCTGTGCTAGAACTGTGTAAATTGAAGTCGATATATTTGTGACTAATTTGCTGAAATGATTATGAATTTATTTAAAATTTAAAATTAATTTATTTATGTTTATCTAAAGTTATTTTGATAGGAAATTAATGTTTTTATATTTTTTTTATTGTTTTAAAAGCTT